AATTTGGTATTTAATCTAGTTAAAAGTTTTTTCTTGGTTAATGTTATAAAATTGTCATTTATAAATATTGAAGAATTTTTCAAACCAGGTTTTGAATTCAGGTAAATGATTTTTAAAAAAGGAATTTGAAATATTTGAAGAAATTGTTTTTTAGAAATATTAAAAGAGATATTAATATTGAATTTGTCATCATTTTGAATTTTAAAGAGTGGTTGGTTGATATTATCTTTACTGATATTATAGTATAATTTGAAGTAAATAGGGTAGAGTTTGAAGTCCTTATAAAATTTTTCTGTATGAATAGTTTTGTATTTATTATAAAGAATAAGGTGTAGACAAGCCAAATTAAGAGCTACTTGTTTTTGATTAGTAATAGTATATAGTGGAATGGAACTATAAGAAGTGAAGATTTTTAAATACTTTAGTTTGGTAAAGAGGGTTATAGTAAATTCTTAGAGAAGGAAAATAAAAGTAAAGTAAATAAGTTCAAATAGAATAGAAATTAATTTGTTGATTAAAGAATTTGCTTCATAGATGAAATTAGTTAAAAATTTGGATTTTTTGTTTGCTAAAGTTTTAATTAGATATTTGTAATTAAGTTTTGATTTAGGAGTTTTGTCAGATACTAGTTAAATAATTTTCTCTGGATAGATGTCAATAAGGTATGGTTTAATGAAACCAAGAAGTTGTTGAGCAATAGGGTTATTAAGTTTGGTATTGTTTTCATTAAGTCAGTTACTAGATATTCTTTAAACCAGTCAAGGTCATTACTGGTATCTCTTTGGTTTTTCTTTTGTTTTTGTTGTTTGTTGTTTTTTTCTTTTTTGGAGAAATAAGAAATAAAAAGTTGGATTTTGTTAACAGATTTCATTTGTTAAAGTTTAATAAGGACAAGAATAATTTTTTGTTTGAGAATAAGAGAAAAAATGATTTGTTTTGGAGAAGTAGAAGAGGAAGTTTGAGTATTTAGACTAATTAGTTTTGATTTGATTGTAGCTATAGTTATTTGTTGTTGAAATGTTAAAGGTGAAGTTTGTATAAGAGGTTTAAGTTTAATATTTAATAGGCTAGGGACACAGAACCTATGTAATAAATTACTTTTAAAATTAGTGCAAATAGAATAATCTGAAGCATAATTGCTTTGTTTAGGTATGACACAAGGGATGTTTTTAATTCTATATATAAAGCATGTATGATAATATTAAGAGTGTACAATAATTGTAGTTGAAATGGGATCAATTTGAAAGCCAGGAAATAAGATATGAGGTTTAGTTGAAGAGGTATCCAGTTGTTGTTATTTAGAATTAGATGAAGCAGACAATTCAGTAGTAATTTTTGTAAATTGTTTTGCAGACATAGTGAATATAGTTTGAGATATGGGTCGATCAAGAAATGTAGAATAGGAAATTTTGTAAAATTTAAAAGTAAAACTAGTATGATATGCTTCACAGAGACATGTAGCAATAGTAGATTATAAAGGAACTTTGAAGTAGTGATGTTTTTTAATAAAAGCATCACAAGTAGTTGGATTAATATCTGCAGTAAGTACCTGTAAAGATAGAGGTTTTCCTTCAATAATTTTTATACTATGATGATCTCTATATTTGCTATGATAGTAGTCGATATTATAAGAATCTGGGTCTTCATTAATAAGAGTTGGCATTTTTGCTTAAAAAATAAAAATAATATAGATTATGAAAATCTTGGATATAAGGCAATCTGAAAGATATAAAGATGTGACAAATAAAGAGTATGACAGATAAGAGCGTATCAGATAACAGGGTGTGACAAATAAAGAGATATAAAAACACAGAGTGTGCCAAATAAGAATTATACAGAGTATATAACACTTGCAGATCTGTAAGTTAAGATTGATGTTAAACAAAAAGTTGTGTAAAATTATAAGAATACAAATTTGTAAACAGTACAGATTAGTTCAAATAGTGTAATATTGATTTGTAATTCTGTTTGAGCAGGTTTGAATAGGGCAGACCAAAGACAACCCCCAAAAAATAAAAAAAAATTATAAAAATAAAATGCAAAGTTTTGCAAGAGTGTTTAAAGGAATTTTTGATAAATTAGTCAATTTTTGACTGTTTTTGAGGATTTATATATAAAATGAAGCTGATAATAAGCTCTTTCAGTTTGTTCTAAGTCACCAGAACAGTTAACCTAATAAAATATTGAGATAACTTAAATAGAAGTATTTTTTAGTTTGTTAAATATATCTCTGTTGAAAAGGAATTTAGAGATATAAAACTTGGCTATCTAAATGTAAAATTGTGTTAGGAACAACTTTACTTAGACATTCAAAAGCAGTTTATTTAATAAAATATTGAGTAAGAATTAAATATTTGCAGCAGAAATTTGGTATAAGTAATCATTGGAAAGAGTTAGTCTGTTTATGATTTATATTTTTTAAATTTTAAAATATTTAAATAAAATTTTATTTGATAATATTTAAAAATAAGAATTATATTATAGCAGTATTTAATTGTATATTATAAGAAAAAAAAATATATATTACTTATAAACTAAAAATAACAAATTTAAAAAAATTTTTAATCAAAAAAATTATTTATAAATTTTTGATGAACTTATTAAATATTAATTTTAAATTTATAGTTCTTAATACAAGATTTTAGTTTGTATAAAAGATAACAATTTTTATTAGTAACACTTTTGTAATTTATTTATAAAAATTTAGATTTGTACAAAATATAAAAATTTTTTTTAGTTTTAAAAACATATGAAATTTTAAAAAATCTTAAAAAATTTTTAATAATAAAAATTTTTAAATATAATCTTTAAAATTTTAATTTATAAAAGTTTATTAATATTTTGAAAAAATTTTATAATAAAGTTTATAAAATATGTTTTTAAGAATATATTTTATAAGCAAAGTATATCCTATATTATTAATAAATTATTATTTAATTTAAAAAATACTAAATACAATTTAATTTTTTAGACAAATTTTTCTGAAATATAGTTTAAGAAATATTAAATTAATTTTATTATTTTTTTATTTACTTATAATATTTTATGAAAACTATATAGGATAAAATTTCAACTTAAATATAAAGAATCAATATAGATTACTGGTTAGTTCAGAAGCAATATTTTATAGAACTTTAGTAATTTGAGATGCATGTATAAGTCATATTTGTATTACTATATTATTTATACAATTTTGATAAGAAAATAAACATTGCTGACTGTTTTAATATTTAACATATCAATTTTTTGAAAAAGATAACCTAAATTATTATTTTTTATAAAATTTTTTCAAAAAAAAATAAAGATATAAAATAAATCAAACTTTAATTTTTATAAGTGTTTAATCCTTTTGGAAATTTCTTGTAGATTTTATAGTTATATAAAAATAATATATCTAATTTTATTATTTATTTTATAAAAGTTTTATAATTTTCATCAATCATTTTTTCTATAATTTCAGAATGCTTTTAAACTGTTATTACAAAGTGATAGCTTATTTTTTAACTTTATTTTAATGTCTATTATGCATGTTCAGTACTTCAAAAAAGTTTTTATAAAGTTTAATATATTAACTATATCATTTTTTTGTAGTTTAATTTTTTGAAAAGTTTGGTTTAGATGATTATTAAAAAGAATTAATTTAGTTCTTAAAGAAATTAAAAAATTTAAACTAATTTTATATATAATATATATATATTTTTATCTTCTTTTACTATTCTGAAAGTTCTTAAACATCTTTAGAATCTGTTATATCTCTTAAAAACCAGAATTGTCATTTTGTAAAGATTATTAAACAACATATAATCTTTATATGTTACTAAATTCATGAAATAACTTATATTTCATTAAGTTCACATATAATATCTCAAGTTCTTGATTTTATAATATAAAACCTACTATCTTTTTAATCTGTAATTCTTTAACTTTATATAACCTACAATTAGATCATCTGTATATTATAATGTTCTTAATTTTACCATTATATAATCTTAAATCAAATTCTCATACATTAATATAAATCTTGTTCTTGTTTTTAAATAAAAATTATCAACAAATCTTTTTTCTAATTATAATCCTAACAGAATTATTATTACCCTTTGAACTTAAACTAACAACCTTGCAATTAAGACCCAGAAGCACTAACCACTGCACTATTGACCTATAAACCTTATTTTATATATTTTTAATAAAATACTATTAAAATTAAAAAAAAACCTCAGAATTAACAAATAATTTTAATAAATAAATAAACTATAATACAATTGTATTTTATTGATCAGATATTATATGATACCACTTGGAAGCTATAATCATTTAATCATTTGTCATCTTGGTCATCGTAATTTTTAAATGACCAGACCATTTGCCAACCCTGTACCTATTGATACAAATCGAAATTGAAATTAACCGTTGACAACTAATCGACTGAACTTTTTAGACACCAACTAATCAATTGAAAAATCATTGATTTACTTAATGAATTAGTTGCAACTAATCGAATAATCGACTAGTTGCAACTAATCGATTAATCGACTAATTGCAACTAATCGATTAGTTGCAACCAACTGAAAAAATAATGACCAATTAATCGAAAAATTTTTGACGATTTGTAACTACCTGTACCCCATTCACACGGTACCATTTAATTTATCTTAAAAGACAATGGTACTGTATGCAGCACTATACGGTAGATCATCTTTACTCCGAAAACATTAAAGCAACGACGTCTATCCGCTTATTTGCTTTTTATTTATGAAACATTATATGGCTAGGTTTTATTTTTTTATTTATGTAAAATAAAACTAAATAAAATACGAACATGTTGGTGGAAGTTCCGAATTATAGTTTATAGTTCAAAATTTGATTATTATTGGTAGATTTAGTTTGTTTTGAGATGATAGCCTCAGTTGAATCAAAATTATCAACTCGGATAAATTTATAAATTTTTGATCGACTGCAGTCACTATTCACGTTCTTTATCTTTTCTATTGTCTCGATCCTTATCTCGATCCTTGCGGTCAGAAGAACGATATGGTGAGCGTGAACGGGAACGGCGGGGAGAGCGGGAACGGCGGGGAGAACGGGAACGTCGAGGAGAACGAGAACGACGGGGAGAACGAGAACGACGGGAAGAACGGGAACGAGAACGACGATATGGTGAGTAGGACCTTCCGCGGTAGCCGCTAGACCCGTATCTTTCATAAATTATACATATTTGACGTTAATAATGAATCAAATGCAATTTTAGCTAAGCAAATACAATCGCACCTAGCACAATTTCTGGCACGATGTCCTGGTTGTCCGCAGGTACTAGTAAATTATGTTATAATGATGTATTCAAATCAATGTTGAGGGTGTCTGTAATTGTAACTTGTAACATTCTTAATAATATACAACTCACAAACATCTATTTTCTTCATATCTAACGGGAAATGATATAAAATACAAATTTCAAAGCAATTAATCAATGTCTTATGAACACTAAGAAATTCATCTGAACCATACCTGCGAGAGCGTTCGCCACTTTGTTTAAAAGTCAGACCATGAATGAAATACGTAAATAAATGAGAACCATCGTTAGCGTTCGATTATATTTGTTCTTACCTTCCTGGCGGCTCTGGGCTAATATCAAATTTTGAAAATTTAAATGAAATTCGAAATCCATAATAACGATGTATTGCAGCTAAATTACATACCAATCTCTAGCCCTATAAAAAGGCAAATAAATAGATGCCGAAATAACAAATTGATGTAATTATCAAAGTCTAGAATATTTATCTTACCAATGACCTTTAAACATTTAATAATGCAAACGGAATTTAGAATCAGATTGTCACATATATATATAAAAAAGTAATTTCCAATACACACCAATTTGTCCGCAATTAAAACATCTTTCTGGTGGTCGTCCATCATAACTACGACCACTTCCATGACGACTTTCACGAGCTCCACGCCAAGTACTACCTATTTAAAAAACAAAAGTACTTAACCATAATACAAAAATAAAATAAGGTTATTATTTAAATCATCTCACCTCTTGCAAATTCCACTAATATTCTATCATCATTTCCTTGAATGCGACCACCGTCCAACGCCCTGAATTGATACTGTGTTAAAACTTGAGTCTGCTGCGTCGGCGATACACCGTTGACACCATCGACTCCTCTTGCCTCGCACCATACAGACAGATATATATATATATATATTACATGTTTTTTTTTCCTTTTTATTATTATTATATTTTTTTCCTGCGATACCGTCTTTTTTTCTCGAACTGCACCAAAACAGAAAACAACACGTCGCAGCCCTGTGTTACGCCTCTCTGCCGACTGCTGCATCATCGTTCTCCTTTTAGAGCTCCTCACCTCATCGCATCATCTGCGTCTCTCGGATCGTCGAATTGTACAAAGCAAAAGCCAATCTGAGGAGTTTTTTCTATTGTTAAAAATAATATTGCAAACAGATATAACACAAATATTTTTTATAAAAAATAAATTACCTTCATCTGAAAAGTAATAGAAATTGATAAAAATGAACGTCATATTAATTAACATAATCATATATTCTAGAACAAGGGTTGTAATATGTACTGCATAATTGATTAGGCTTACATCAACTTCACGAATTCTTCCATACTTTCCAAAAGCCTCGTCGATGTCACGTTCCGTAACGGATCTGGAAAGCCGTCCTACAAATATTTATTTTGAGACGTTTAAAATACATGTCCTAACTTCTGCAAATGCCTTATGATTTAGAAATGCGTATAAAGCCTCGACATTTATACTTCAGTTCAACTGACCTACATAAAGTCTTGCGGAAAATTTATCAGCACTACTGCCACTACTACCATTGCCGCTCCATCTTTTACTATCTTCTTTACGATCGTCCGAATAAGACATTTTTGACCTGTTTTGAGGAAAATAGTTATTGGTGGGAATAAACATCAATGCAATATTTATATGCCATGTTGTGCAACAATAGATTATGTAAGCTCCTTTTCTTATTGACTAAACGAAATAAACGACTAATATTTATATCAGTTATTATTATGTCTCTTGTTGCTGATTACAGCTCGGACGTTTCGAATAGTGACGAAGAAATCTTATCAACTGAAATAAGTAGGGAAGCTCCAGAAAATACTATATCTTCTTTACTTCCACCACCAAAAACCTTGTCTAAAAGCAAGAAGGAAGGTCCTGTAAAAATTGTAGTTGACTTACCGCAAATCAGTCAAATAGATCTTGAGGAAGAAAATGTATCAAAGAAACCGAAAACAAGCAGTTCAAAAAATAGTTTATTTGCACTTTTACCGGCACCCAAAAGAACTATAACAAATGAGCGGAGACCAAACGATAATGGATCAACAACTCAGGCTGCATTAAAAACAACGAATTTTATGCCTCATGCGATCACAAGAAAGAAACCAGCCATACAAACAAAATCCGATAATTCATTAGGTTCTGAGTTTAAACAATTAACTACAAGAATTGAAGATAATACTGGAGACATAAACACAATCACAGAATCATTTTTTCCGTTAGGTAAAGAATAATTACTTTCTTTTCCTCGTCAATTATTTACGCTGCTAATTTGATTACATACACCTTTCAGGGCCTGAGATAACGAATATAAAATCAATTAATGAGACCAAGGATGCATCTACAACTTTTTTTACCACTAGAGACAATGTCGAATCCTATGCAAGTGCAGGTGCTTCGAGCGCAACTGACAGTCCTTTTCCCACAGATGGATATACATATAACGAATATAACAAATATCATAATGATGGCCAGTGGCAAGAAAATGCAAATACTTACGTAGAATACCAGGAAATCTATGATGAACCACAAGGCAGTGAGCAGACACAATTGAATTGGGAGCTAGATGACGAAATGGTAATTACCCAAATCGTATTTAGTTTTCATATTTCACAATTTAACAGCAATATGTTTTATTCAGTTTCAAAAACTGGGAGGCCGAAGAGGAAAGAGGGAGGGACCAATTAAAATTAAAGAAATTAACGCAGCCGATCAAATGGCTGATTCATGGCAATCTCAGGTTGCCAATTTGTCAAAACCGACCAGAGGACCAAGCGAAGGATCTGCGGTAAATCACATTACTTTGTAGTTATAAATAATGAGAACATAAATTGACATTTTATTATTTTAGCGTTTAAAACCCACTAGAGGCCAGAAGAGGAGACATAACCTAATGTATCTAGCTTTTCATGCAACTTCAATGGAAAGTGAATTGAAAGAACAGCATGCATCAAATAAAAAAACCAAGAGAGAAACACAAGCAAAATATGGTAAATACATTTTATTTAGTATAAGCTTATTTTTGGAGTTTATATATTTATTTATACTTATACATGTCTATAAATTGTATATCAGGGTTTTAGAAATACCTTTATGTCTTGCAAATTTGGATCTTCAATTAAATTTTAAGAGGTTTATAATGTAGTGCACCTGCATTTCTGATTACGCGATTATCAATATCAGTTTTTTATAGTGTTACGCGAATCATATAGAAAAGCCAATCAATAAAAATTAAATATTATACGGATAGGTACATCTGTCTAAGGTATATATTAGTGTTGTAAGTCGAATGGTTTTGATTGACTAACGGCTTAGGAACCTTTCGTAAATTTCACAAAAATTTGGCTCGTATTCGACGTTCGATGTAGGAACATTAAAGCCAGGTACAAGTTAGAGCTACTTTTTTGATGTAGTTAGGGTTAGTGTCAAGAATATAACTTATGTAGTATGTAGATCATTATATGAATGTATTTGGTTTTATTTTCGTTTATACAATTTGGGAATATACCAAAAATGGGGTCGTTTAAAGAGATCGTCTAAAGCGGAGTCAAATTCACGTGATATACATGTGATTGGGCAAAAAACTAAAAACAACGATTGGTCATAATTATTTTTATTTTTTAATTTTTATTATATACGTATATATTTATAACAAAAATTTTTCTTTAAAAAAACAATTTCAAATACATTATATAGTTGGTCACAACTCGTAAGAGCATTATACATTTTGTTCTATATAAATCCATATTATAAATGCATAGTTTGTTTTTTTTTTTTTTACTATATTCTAAGATGCTGAACTTATAAAAGTTTTACTGTATTTCGAAATATATCTTACACAAAATGAACCTAGCATATATTTACATACCTTACAAAAAATTATATTGTGTGATTTATAGTGAAATATATAAGCCTCTATTTGTGTATGTATCTAAATAGAATAAAATTTTTATATTTTAATATTTAATCGTATTTAAAAAAAACAATTTACATTAAATAAATTTACCTTATGTAAAATGTGTAAAGTTACAAATGTATGAATTCATCATCTTGCATTAATGAATTTGAATATAAATAAAAATTATAAATAATATCAAAAATTCCTTTTTACTAATGTAAATTTACAAGTAATTTTTTTAAAACAAACTGTTTTATTAACTAATCTAAAATGTCATTAGATATTTTAGTTGATAAATTAACTAAGAAATGTTTATTTAAAAAGACTCAAAAATCAATTACTATATCATCTAAGCAGTATGAAAAAAAACAATATGAAGTTTCTATCTATCGTTCTCTTGAAAAATATATAGATCACTATAAAATTTTTGATGAAATTAAAATTGATAATCTAAATTATATGAAAAATTTATTCAAGCAATCATGCAAATATTACATTATAAAAGAATTTATAAAGTTGAAAATAAAGCAAAATTTGTTGAGAAATATAAAAGAATTTTATCTAAAATAGATATTTCTACAAATCCAAATGAATATGTTATAAATCTCTTAATAAAATATTCAAAATACAAATTCTTGCCACATTTATATAAAGATAAAAAAGCTTGTTAATTTCAATTGCAAAGTTCAAATGTTATTATCGAACAATAAGTTTGAAAAAGAAAGAGTATGATAAACAAAATAATGAAAAAATAGTAGTAAAAAACAAATCTAAATTAAAAAACACATATTTCTTAATGGGTAGTAAAACAATTTAACAAAAACTTAAAACTTACTAGTTCACAAATAGATTATATTCAACAAAGTTGCAATGTAATTAATATTAATAATAAAGAAATGTACAAAACAATAATATTCAATATAGAAACACTTCTTGATATCTGTAATGATTATAAAATGAAAAAAACAAATTATTTGGTTGTATTTTATAAAAAAATGTAAGATAATATTAAAAATGTTAAAAATCCTAATAAGTATGTTATCAAACTTGCTAAACAATTTTATTCATTCAAAATTAATTTTCATCAATATATTTTTAGATCTAAATAATATTTCAGATTATTTTATTAACTGCTAATTTTTACATAATTGTAAATCAAGTAAACTCGAAAAATAATGTTTAATAAAATTTATTTATATATATATTATTTTAATCAAAAAGAATTTTGAAAATGAGATGTTTATGATAAGCAATTATAACTTATTATAATTGTTTATTATAAATATATGAAGTATTCAAAATTCTTTTTGTGTTTTATTTATAGACATTTTAGATAAATTTATATTAGCAATTTTTATAACAGTGATTTTATATTAATAATTTCATTATCTCTATATTTATCTCTATATTTATCTCTATCTCTATCTTTATCTCTATCTCTATATTTATATGTATCCCTCTTGATTTTTTTTTTATATTCCCAAAATTTACCAAAGAAGAAAAGTGAATTTTGGATTCATTGAAACAATGAACAATATATGTTTATATTTTTATAAGTATTAAATATTTTTTTTAATTTGATTTAGAAAATATAATATTAAAATTTAACACATTAATAAAAATTAAGATTTTTATTAAATTTTGGTTTATATAAAATAATTATATCATATTCAACTCTCCCCGACGATCACTTGTACCGAATTTTACACCAACAAAAACGGAAAACTTATTGGAGAAAGTAGAAAAGGCTACTATACAAATAATGGTTTTTATAAAGGTCAA